TCGCGCCGGGGACGCGGCTGCTCTGGGGCTTGTTTTGCTTCGTCGCCACTCTGTACCCCGATCCTTGGGGCCGCTTGAGTTTGCGACGTAAACGCCAGGGTCTCCTCACTGTTCTCCTTTTCGCGCTTTCTTTGTGTTTGCTGGTGAGACAGACGGGTCAACTTTTTGGCGTTAAAGTTTAGGGGGATTTGATTCACCCTTCAGCTTTGCACACCTAAGACTTGCAAGAAAAGCCCGAGGACTCGTTCTTGTGTCAGGATCAGAAAAAGGAAAGCATTAGAGAGGACCTGAGGTGATGATTTTGCTCTGCCCAGTAAGCTGTCGTCTTCAGGGAAGATCACGTTTCCCTGTCAGAAAGAAAGAGGAAGAGAAAAAGAGCGAAAGAAAGAAGGAGTAAACTTACATTGAGCGAGCCAACACACAAGGGAAGATTATTTGATGTAATATTCCCAGTAGCTTTTAGAACATTTAAGTCGTTTTGTTTTACAGGCATTTGACTTTATCCACAGATGTCGGCTGTATGTCCTGGCTAATGATGTTCTGAGATTTTATAAAAAAGAATTTAACCAGGTTAGAGACTGTGGGTTTAGGATATTGTCAGTGACTTCAATAATGAACGTTTGTTTTTTGCCATTTCCCTCGGACCCCTAGGCAGAGGATGTAATGGGCACCACAATTTCATTTTCCGGAGACTGGTTTCATCTCCCGAGACCAGTGGGATTTCTGCTTCAGAATAAGCCTTGAGTAGGTCCAGATGTTGGTATAGGGAAGAGGGAGATCTGGAAAATTACTGTAAGTGGGATTTTGGCAACAAATGCTGCAATTCATTAGTTGTAATTGAGTCGGCAAAGGCTTCTGCCAAGCCGGATGGCCAGGTAGGATATACAGGGTTTCTGCTTTCAAGGAGTTTGCTTTCTGGTGGGAGAGACTCCTGCAGAGGTTCTGTGTAGGACCCCAGAGGAAGCAGAGGGTCTGGCTTGGAAGCCACCAGAGAGGAGGTGGCAGTGAAGGGGAGGGGTTGGTTGTTTTTTGTAAGAGGTGGGGGAAACGATGTTCCCTGCCTAAGGGGAGGAAACTCACTTTCTATTCTCTTTCCAACAAATACTTTTCTTTCCTTTCTTAAAATATCTGCAAATTCCCTATAGAAATTCTGGAGTGATTTGATAGGCATTGTTCATAAGCCAAGCCACCCGTGGTAATGGATGGGTTCATTTCAGTCTTGGTTAGGAGGTTAGAAATGAACTCAGACATCACAGAGGGCAAAGCAGGGATGTTGTGAAAGCTGATCTGGTGACAAGTCTGTGTACCTTCGTATGTGATTCAGGCACAGAGGACTGGCGGCCTAGTCTCACCTTCTTGTTCAAGGGTCTCAATATTTGGGAGTTTTCTCAGGGTGGTCTGGGCTGTGCACAGAGGTCCTTGGCTTTCCTCTGGAGGCCTTTATTTATCTTCTATGCTGGAGATTGAACCCACGGCCTGATGCAAGATACGCATGTGGTCTGCCACTGAACTACATCCCCAGCCACAGCCTGAGTTGTTTTATAGTTTAACCAGCTGGGTTTATTAAGAGAAGTACAGGTTCCAAACGAATTTCCCTGGAGCATTCCTTCTCAGGGTTCATGTCTTGACAGGCTTGTACTGTTGCTGATATTGTATATAGATTTAGGGATTAAATGGTAGCTTTTGAAAGAGGGTGTTCCTGAGGACCTTTTTTTTTTCCCCCTCGGTACCGGGGATGGAACTTGGGACCTTGTACTTGCAAAGCAGGCGGTAGAACCACTGAACTAAATCCCTGGCCGCTGAGGACCTTTTCCAACCATCTTCTAAAGACACTTTTCTCAAGCACCGAATTCATGCTAGTTGTAGTGACTGTTGGAGTTTACAATGGAAAAAAAGGGGCTAATTGGTAGTATTTATTTATTTATTTATTTAGACAAGTTTTGGCTTTGTAGGGCAGGCTGACCTTGAATTCAAGGCAATCCACCATGGCCGGGAGTAGCATGTGTTTACTTGGGCTGGGGATGTAGCTCAGTGGCACAGTGCCTGCCTGGCAAGTGCGAGGCCCTGAGTTCAATACCTGGTACAAAAAAAAGTTGTTCTTAAACAAAAATTATCTGATTTCTGTGCCTCATTTGAAAGTAAGATATAACTCATAACTTCAGCAGTGAATCTTTGCTTCTGCTATCTTATTTACATAAAAGTAGCCCATGTCCTTGCAGGACTTGTTTGCTCTACCAAAAGATTTTTTTTAAAACTTGGCCCAGAAGGTCAACAAACTGGGTGCCAGTAGCCTAGTTGGTGCCAGTGGACAAGAACTTTGTTGAGGTTCCAGGGACAGAGGTGGTAGAGCGTTTTCTCTTTTGTGGACACCTGTGGGGTTGAAGAAGCCTTCAGCTCCTCTCCTCTTCCTCTTCCTCCATGGGGCTCACTGAACAGCAAACAGCTCCTTACCGCTTCTGACCATAAATCAGTAAGATGAGTCGAATGTATGTTCTTGATGGATATTTTAAAAATACTATTCTTGGAGTTAGGAGTTTGGGGTTTGTGGAAACATCTCATTTTGACTCGAGGCTGTGGCTCTTTTCTTACATAGTATTTTCATGTGGATCTTCTGAGAAGCAGATATTCCTTTAAGTTTTATCTCAAGTCCTCACTTTTGGAAAATATTTATTTTAAGTAATGTGTTTCAGGCATAGTGCATGTTACAATCATAGCTCGTACTTATTGAGTTCTTACATGGAGCATCTTCTTTATTTCCCCTGACAACTCATAAGGTCAGTCCCGTCATCATCTCCATTCTGAAGTCTAGGGGTTAAATAATTAACTTGAAATCCCACAGCTAATAAGTGAATCTAATTTTCTTAACTTCTGTGTTTGTATGCCCTTAGAATTAGCATCATGTGGAGCAGAAATTCAGATTTCTGGCTCTCATAGTTAGATTCTTTGGGTCATGGAATTTGAAAATTGGATGACTAATTCATCAGTAGCCATTATTCTATAGATTTGTTGGCTTAAAGAGTGGGGCTATTTTTGTTGCTTGGTTGAAGAGATGGAAGTTGTGTACTTTCTTATAAAAATATGTAAGGAGTTCCTTGTGGTTGTAAGTGGGTAATTGGAAAAAATAATGAAGCATGGGCTGGGGATTTAGCTCAGTGGTGCTGTTGCCTGCCTGACAAGCATAAGGTCCCGAGTTCGATCCCTGGTATCAAAAAAAAAAAAAAAAAAAAAAAAAAGAATAAATCAGATTAACAATTTAAAGATGAATTGAAGGCTTACTTATTTTAATCTCCAATACAGCACCTTAGAGAAGGATGTAGACATTTGTGGGCAGTAGTGTTGATTTGGAGAAGGCTGCTTTTCCTCGTTATTTCTTCCCAGGATCTGGGGCCTACAGGCTGTTGAGAAAAGGAGTCTGAAACAATAAGGAAGAGGACGGGCCTGATCAGAGGGCATTAATAAGAGTGGGCAACAGCTGCTCTCTGTTTCTCTGGCCTTCTGTTCTCAAACCTTTGCTAAAAAAAACTGAATTATAGAAGTGGAGCAGCTTTTCTCTCCTGTGGCCATTGGTTGGTGGACATGAGGAGTAGAAAATGTTCAAAAGCAGCTGTAGTTTCTTTTGTTTGGATCCTGGGAGATTACTGGCTATAAGGGGCAGTGGGACTGCTTTTTTTCTTTTTGTGTACAAAAACCCACATTAAAATTAGATTTTTTGGAAAAATCTAACTTTCCGAGAAGCGATTTAATAGGTGGGATAGATTGAGACACAGAACACTGCAGGAAAGGGGAATCTAGCTGTAAGAGTACACAAATGATGTAGTTAGATGCGTGCTGTCCTTGGGGTTGTATTATTTTCTGGCAAATTTTTATTGGAGACATTCTAAGAAATTGGCAGCAGGCTGTGTGATTGTCCAGAGCATCTCCGCTTTCCTTCTTTTCTTTGCCCGTGAAAGCTGCAAGTAGTGGGTATTGAAGAAACAAGATGTTTCTTTGGGTCTGAAACTTTTTGTTTGAATATTGAAATTCCCTTTGGCTAGATATTTATGCTTTGTACATTTATTTTAGTGGCTCCAAAGAGTCCATGAACTGCCTGCCTCAGCATACTTATTTCCCCTTATCAAAGCCTCTTATGAGGAAAATTAAAAAGAATTCATTGGTTTCTGTGAGTTAATATCTCTAAGAAATTCCAGGCCCAAATTGAAATTGACATTTTTATGCAATTCACTCATCCATTCGTTTATTAATTCAGCAAATATTAGGTACTTATCATATGCTGAGCTTGAGCTCTGTGTTAGTCTCTGAAAAATTTTATTCACTGCCCTAAGAAAACCTGCGAAGAACATGCAGAGTCCATTGGGAAATCCTTCTGAGAGACATACTTCACAATCAGGAAACACCTAAATTGCTGTACTTACAAACTCAGACCCTGTGAACTTTTAGTCAATCAGTGAAGGTACTCTGAGCTCTGTTCAATGGAGCTTTCTGCTTTGGTGGAAATGTCCTTTGTCTTTCTTAGCCTTGTGTGGCTTTTGAGTACCTGAGATATAGGTAGTGAGAGGCAACAGCTGCATTTTAAAATCTTACTCAAGTTCGGTGAATTTAAATAGCTTCAAGGTAATGGGGCCACTGTATTGCCGGACATATTAATGGACTCTCATTTCCCTCCTGGTCATCTGGCTGCTTGTGGGTATTTACCTACTAGGCTTTGACAACTTTTGAGTGCTGTGCATATTAACCCATCATGTCTGATAAGCACGAAAGTGGTGAGAGTGTATGGGAGGTGTGGGACCTTACGGGAAACAAAAGTAGATGGTCACTGAAAATGAGAGGAGAAATGTCTTATTTGACAGTAGAAGCTGTTGTAAAAATACATAAACACATTTTGTCCAGGTAGCATATAATTGACAGTATTCAACAAGATGGAAGACAAACTGATAAAATGAGGAAACTTCTGAGCCTGGTCTGAAATTGAGGGGGTGGTTGGGTGTTTTCTTCATTGTTGTTGTTGTTGAATTTAACGAAATGGTGAAAACCCTACAGTTGACTTCTGGTTTTGAGCATTTCCTGCAAGCTCCAGGTCCCCTTGGAATCTGCATGGGATCCCGGTGACTGTCCTGCTGGGCAGAGACAGTGAGCAAAGCAGCCAGGCCATTCCTCAGATACCTGCAGAGCTGTCTGGGAGGCTCAGAAAATTCTCAGTGCAGAAGAAGCTGACAGGGAAAATGCCTGGCTGGCATACGGATTAGCGAGGAGTGTGTTGGGTTTTAAAAGTAGTTAAGAAAAGAAATTTCTGTATCATGGTTCAGGATAGAGAACATCAATGAGGCCACAGGTCAGAGAAAAAAGTCTT